AATACCACTCTAATTTCTGTACATAAAAGATTAAGCTAGAGCCAGGTGATTAGGTTAGCTTAGCATAAAGACTGGAAAAAGCTTGACTGGCTCCATGAGCTACCCTGAGGGAAGTCATTGCAACATGGACATAACGCCTTATACAGTGTATAAGTTTGTGAGTTTTGAGGCTAGTGGTTTTTCAATAGACAGAGCCAGACTTACTGTTCCCCAAGATCTGAAACAGTGGTTAACAGACTTTATTCAAAATGGTATTTGAGCCCCAGCAGTGGCAGCATTTTATCAACCTGACAATGACAAGAGCAAACAGCCACAAAAAACTGTTGGCGAGATGATTGAAAGGGTTTGATTTTCAGTCTTCAGTGTCATGCAACCTTCTCCCAACATTACTCTCTTCCACTCGTCCAGCAGATCTCACAACCATTTGTGCTTTCGTACCTTATGATCTCCCTGTGTTTTACAGTGTTGCTGTATTACTTTAATGACTATTGATTAGTTTGGTAGGGCTCTTTCTCTGTAACGTCCTTGGAAACATACTGTATGTACTGATAAAGGACACATTCTTGATCTATTATACAATACAGCCTTAAAAATATACTCCCCGTGTCATATGGTATACAGATGTGTTTCCTGTGGCAGGCAGGGTTCCCATACAAACAGATGTTAGCTATTTCCAAGGTTGCCCAGGCAACAATGCAATGGAAAATTCTTGGGAATTTCCATGTGACAAAGGATTCTGGGCTTCTTTACTGCCCATCTTTCTTTTCACATACACAGGGCAGTAAGAAAATGTCATTTTCTCAAAAGGAACTTGAAATGAGATGAGAAACATAAACCAGACACTACAGCAACACTCAGAGGCCACACACATGGGTTCACAGAATTTCAGTGGAGCTGTCGGGGCAGATCCTATGAGAATCCCTCTGCCACTCTATAACCATCTGTCATGTATCTTTATCTACACCTGAGTCAGGACGCTTAAAGCTCCTTCCCCAAAGAAGAGGCTTGTCTAAATATAGAGCTGAGATGGGGACAAGCAGAAGGGAAATATGGGACGGGGGGTGAGAAAAAAAAGATAAAGATGTGAGAAAGGAGCAAAAGAAAACATGAGAGAGGGTAAAAGATGAAGTGACAGTAAGGAGCAAACATTATCCATGGGCACAGATCTTGCAACCTTGCATGTATGTGTGTAACAGATAGTACTGTGTGATTGAAGAGTATGCCTCCAGAAATATACCTGCCAGCACCAGCTCCCTGGTGGCTAAGAGCTGCAAATCACAGACAGGGAAACCCTAGACAGCCCTGAGCTGGTAATTTCCATCTGCTCATTACATAAGAGTCATCCTTTTTAAACTTCACTGTATTATCAGTGTCATGCTCCAGGCTAGATTTGACACTGAAATAAAAGATCCAAAATCCAATTTCCAATTTTTAAACAAATTTTTTCATTCCTCGATTATATTAGATGAGGGTCTCTCCAAAAGTGTGCAAGGTTCTGTGATTCAATCAAGAAACAAAGCCTGGAGGAGCCTTTTCTAATGACAAAAATAAAGCAGAACTTGTACAAATAAATAAGCGGCATATGTGAATGTAGCATGAGTTTCCAGCGATATATGAACATATTCTGGTTCAAATCTTCTAACGCCATGATGAGCAAAGCAAATGTGAATGCAAAAGCATTATGTAGTTTCTGAGCTTCACGCTACATAATGACTGTAGTGTCTAATCACTGCATAGAAGGTTAAAGTTAAAATGTCTTTCTTTATCTATATGGTTGATCATTGTAATATAAAATATACACAATTCTATGACTGAACTGTTTGCTACTATAGCAATTAGTCCAGGCAACTGGGATGCAGAGGACGTTTGGCCATAAAATAAGAAGCCTGAGTGCCTCATACAGGAAGTGACACATAATCATTACAGGCAATGGGGATGAAATGAGTGTCAAGACAAGAGTGTCAATACATCATACAAGACAAAGCTAGGCAGAAAACTAAATTACCATGAACAAAACTAACCCTGATACAAGAACATTCACAAATTCATGCACTGAAAATAAATAATATTCCAACCTCAAAGGCAGATTTTTTTCTCGTGTTTTAAGAAAGGGGGTTGTTTAACATTTTGGAAAATATGCTTACAGTATACACTTTGTTGTCGAGAGTTAGATGAGTTCCAATACCAGCCAGCCAGGCTAACCTAATCAGCCAGTTGTAATGCGAACATAGTCTAAAGCTTGCTAACACGTTATATCTTGGCTGTTTAAACTGTACAAAAACAAAATGTAAAAACCACAATCTGTGGTTTTACTGGGGTTTGCGCTACAGACTATTTCATGGCTGCACCCAGAGTCTTGGCACCACAGCGAGGTTGTCAGCTGACGAGTGAAGACTTTAGGATGGCACTGCAGTTAGCCAAGTAGTCCTATCCAATTCAGTTTTTAAAGGAAATGAATACTGAACTTCCCAAAATACTGGCCTGTTCTTTTAAATTTACCAAAAGCTGTTGATAACTTCCCTCCGTAAGTTTGGATCTTGTTTTTTTTTTTTGGATTCATATCTCAGGAACCTGCTGCATTCTTATTTATATATATCTTTTACACTCTGCTAAAAACGTCTCATGTTGCTTTCCGTTCAGATGAAGTGCCTCCTCACAATATGTCCAATAATTGCCAAAGACAAGGCTGGGAACACAGTAAGCATGACTGTTTAGCTGGCTGAGCATGAAATCTACTTAGCCTTAGTGAGAGTGGGAGAAACGGAGCAGAGGGTGACAGAAACTGTGAAAAAAGGAAGGCTGGAGACAAAATATGTCTTTTGGTGACTAGCAAATGCCAGAAAATAAGTATCTAATCAAATCTTGGACTGGAGACTGAATTCTGCACAATGCACTGGCACATGGTGACACAAAGATTTGTATGTCTTATGATTTGGCTGTGAAGCTGGAAGCAGCACACAATACACGAGGCAAATCCATGCAGCACCATGTGAATTTAGAGTAGACATCAGGAATCAACAAGGGAAAGTCTGGATTTTGTTTTTATGTTTTTCTCTCCATCTCTGCCTTATTTTTTTTTATCTCTCCTGATCTCTCAGTGTGTTAGCTGGCGCCAAGATCTCTGGGGCACAGTCTGTGACATCAGACATTTCATTTTATTTCAACGATGTTAATCATCTGCCTTCGGGCAACAAAGAACAGAAGAGGGGAGAAAGATAAAAAGACATAGGGAGCCAGGCGGAAAGACGACGGGCAGGGAGTGAACGAGATGGAAAGGGGGAATGATGAAAAAGAGAGTGATAAGGGATGGAGGCAGGATGGAGAGACAGACAAGGGCCATGAACATCTGAAGCAGACAGATGCTGGCAAGTGAGGTTAGAGCCGGAGGCCAGAGATACTGTCACACTTAAAGCCAAATGACAGGGAGGTAAGAGAAAAGCACAGAAAAAAGTTTTTAGTCCCAAAGCACTGAGCTACTTAAGACCTAGCCTATCCACGTTTCTGAATTTCCTGGAGGTAAGCATGCTGGGTCACTCTCTCCATTCTCACCCTTCTAGTTTCTCTGTCTCTCTCTGACTTTCACCATGTCACCATAAAGCTTGTCACTCAAAATCAACATCACAACAAGAGCACACCAAGACTAACTCTGGCTGTAGTTAAAGACAGGGACATGGGGAGGACAAGAGGAACTTTTGCCTGGTTTTGCAGAACACTGCATTAAATAAAATGTGATTATTACTGATGTCTAAGAAGCAGATGTCAAAAAACAGACTATGTGAAATTATTCAGTATTTTCTAGCCTGATTCTGGCGTCTTTTCTCCCAAATTTACTTTTGCTAATTCAAATTAAGAGCTCCTGCCAATCTTATTTTGAATTTTAATATTGTTTTTCCTGTCAGAGTGCCAATTCCACTCAAGTCAGATGTGTTAGTGAAAGTGGGTCTACAGCTCACCAAGCTTGTGTGAATATCATGTACACAACCCACAGATCAATCCACTTAGTGACCATGAAATATTGGGAGTGGGCAGGCCACTCTGCTAGTCTGACATCATATACCCGGCCATTAGGCTGAGTGCCATCATGGCTCAACACTTCTCTGGGGGACTGTATTTGGGCTGCATTCATAATCCTGCTTCCATTAGAACCATCTGGAATACCTTAAACCTGTTGACTTAGTAGGTGAACAGGCTTGCAGACCTACATATATTTATTTACTTTGGGAAAAACATTTCTGTGACTGTGGACAGTATAATCTGTTATCTAACTATCTATAAATGTTGCACTACAAATATATGGGTTGGGGGGTTTTGAAGGACTGAGGCAGTGATGCCTCAACTGCATAAGTGAGGTCTCCACTTAATCACACAGCGTCTTAGCCCAAGTTACCATGCTGCAGGACACTGTAAGTTAGTTTTCAGCTCTTACTGTAGAAGCAAGACTGCTCGAGCGTTTGCAATGAACCACAGGGAAAACAATGTTGGAAATAAATACATATGGAAATAAGAAACCATCTGGTTTGAAGTCTTAAGAAACACAGTTGCTCTTTTTTCAAAAAGAGTCAGTCTCGGAAGAGTCCCACATGGCCTATAATAAAGAAATGCTTCTTTGACTAAACATACTAAAGAAGTAGTTTGGGAACATCTGAGCCACACATAGACTTCAGATGCGACAGATATGTCACATGCGCTGCAAGCTGGCAACAAATGGACAGTGGGTTTAAGTATCATGTTTCACAAGATCAGTGAATCCGAAGTAATGTGCAGTCATCATCACTTGGCAAAGAGGAAACGCTTCTGCTTAAATCCCCTCAACTATAATACTGTATTCTGAAATTCAACAAGTTAAGGGGAGAAGTATTTAACATGTATCTTTTAGTGAATCGTAATTTAAATATATCACAGACTAACAGGAAATAAACCTTGACTATGAAAATGAATGCCAAGCTGTAATTTACGCTACACGGAGCACATTATCCAGGACTTTCACAAACCGTACTCACATCTGCGCTGTTGGGAACTGTCCGGTCGACACAGTCGACATGGTTGACAGCAGTAAAAGTAGACAGACCGAGTAATCCATAGTTTTGATTATTTCCTCCAAACCAAAGTCCAGACAGAGAAAAGATGCTCCAGAAAACCCTCCACAAATCCACCGCTCCGTGCGTACTTCTCAACCAAACACCTCACACCGCCATCGGTGCGCGTTTGGAAGCAAATCTCATTCGATATCTATGTGTCGTTCCCCCCCACACCCCCCACCCCCAACCCACCGATGGAGATGCAGTGTTCTTTTATTGGTTCTGCGAGTGCGCGTGTGTGTGACTGTTAAAGTGTGTCTCTTGGATCGCGTAGAGCAGGTCTACGACGTGTGTCAGAAACTAAACGGAGAAAAGGGGGAGGGCGCATTTCGGTTTAGAGCCTGGCCGGCGGAGCGGTGCCAGTCCGCACACTGCAAAAACATCTGGCCCGTCATTCAGCATTAAACTTATTACTGTTAAACAGGTGGGACATTTTGTCAGGGAGGTGGGAGAGATCTTTTCCTACGCCATGCATTTTTATATCGATTGTTTATGTTTACATTAAGCGTCAGTTTCTTCCAGGTTTTGGGAGAGCTCTCATACTGTATTCTGCTTTATTTAAACACATTTAGACAAATATTTCTGCACAAATCCTGACCAAAACGGAAACATGGTCTAATTCAATTCGAATTTTGCTTTAAGAAAATATAATAACACTATGTGGCACAATTTATACATTTATGATGTGTGGATTCTGTTAATGCCATTTTTTTTACAGTGTGTATTTTTTTGTATTTGTGTTCCTGACGCACTAATGGGTTTCCGGGCACCCTCTCTGCCCACCACACTCACCAACAAGCAACAATTATGGCTCTCTTACCGCTGGAGTCGTATCGAGCACCCAGCACTTGGCATGAACGCCTCCTCGGCGCCTTCTCAACACCATCCAGCCACCTTCCTGGCTACAACACACAACCTCCAGCTGACGATCATAACAAATCAAACCACCAACAAAATAATGTTAGCGAGATTTTATTGTTAGAGTAAATGCTCTCTTTCTTTAGAACCATATCCCGAAATTATTTCTTACTATAAAATCTCCATTTTTGATCATCCTTGCATCCTTGATTACAAAAATATAGCACAAAGTGGAGTATTTGAGTAACATGACAACTTTTAAGTCATTTTCAAGCCCTGTAAGTGACTGATGTTCGTATCAGATCCATCAAATCATCACAGGAAAACAATTCCCATCGAGTAAAGGTGCTCTGTTTTATTATGTTTATCATTATAAGCCTTCATTTAATTTGAAACAATGCACTTCATTCGCTTAGGCAAAAATGTGATAATAAATTCCGCTTCCTCCAAGGACTGTGGCAGACTTAATATGAAGTGCCATTTCTCTTTGCTGGGACAATCAGCAAGGTAAATATCAAAAGAATATACTGTACTTTTTAATGAGTTTCTTTTCAAAGCCCTTTGTCAGATACAGAACTAATCTTTGACTAATTTCCCCAGAGCTCCTTGGTTATTATGGAACCCTAAACTTATTATTCCTGATTTAATTTTTGCCTTATTTGTGTGTGTAAATGTGTTCATGTGAGTTCACTGTTTGCCACTGAGGGTCACAGCAGAGAAATAAAAGGCAACATGTTGCTCACCTGCTATTATATGAATAACACAAACAGATTTACTGTACAAATAGCTGTCTGTGTTCCCTCGCTCAGGTTTCACTATAACTCACATATAAAGCTGCTCCTCTGGGGCCTTTTCAGGGCAGGGCTGGAAGGTGGGGGTGAGGAGTATATTTACAGAGCAACAGTGAAGAGGTGGGGCAGCCTAGAGAGTCAGCCAGACAGAAAGAGGAGAAATGGTTTATAAAGCTATAGTACACTGATGCACGAGAAGAAACAGATGAACACATTGACTCTAAGTGAGAAAATTATTACTTACTAAATAACAAAATACCTCCAGTCTGTTTAGCAATTATTGTGAATTCTTAAGTCGTTTTCAGGAACAAAAAGCAAAAGCCACCATGTGTTGCAATATGCAAATAAATAAATAAAAACCCAACACTAATTCCTCATGCTGCTTGTTTTTGAACCAGGCAAGTGAATGCAACACTCTCTTAACCCTTGTGTTCTGTTAAGAATCATAATATGTTGTCTAACACTTAGATCTCCACTGATTGATTGACAGATGTCTTAGCAAACATTACACACCCGGTCAGTTATTTGGAGTCATATTTATGGCCGCCAATATTTATTCTTCCTTTCTGCTCTGATGCTCCTGAAGAATTATCTGGCTCTTAAAATCACCATAAGCATCACTGTTTTAAACAGCTAGTCGCTAACATTGTCTGTCTATGGTTTGGTGTTGGCCAGGTGACAAACAGAATGAGCCAAAACAGTTTAGCTGTTGGCTCCAGAAACAAAAACAATTAGCTGAAAGATGCTAAAATGCCCTGTAAAGCTGAGAAGAACAACAAAATTAGGTAACAGTTGTTGATGAGTTTGTTGCTGCAAAGCAACCCCTTTCACATATCACAGTCATTTGACCTATTGTTGACATAAAATATGACTCATACAGCTTTAAGGGTAAACATTACAAACTGTAAAACAACACTGCGTGTCAGTAACTGGATCATTTATGAGAATGGGATGTATTTAGTCAAACTGAATTTGTTGTTTTTGAGAAGCTTTTGTAAAAAAAATTAATCCCTGTGAAAATCCCATATAGTCCTGCTTAAGATGGAAACCATTATAAGGTTAGGCTAAAATTATTCACAAAACAGGTTCAACACTGGCTGCAGCTAAACATGACACACTGTAAAAATGTTTTTAGTTGGGCATTTTAGATTCAGCTTTGTGTAAAGGTTGTGTTGTTCTCAGTTATGCAGTTCACTGCACTTCTATTTTAACCTCTTTTCTGAAAAGAGCAACAGAAGTGCTAAAATCAAGAGTGCAAGTGCGCATGTAATGACAGTGCAGGGTGATATAAAGGTAGTGTTTCTGAGTGAATGAAGAATGCATGTGTTTGCATGTGTACCTGGCAGGCAGCAGGTGTGGCCTCTGTCACTAGGTCCCAACCCCACCTAGCGGCCCAGGGAATTGCCCAGCTGCTGTCGCATAGCAACCTGTTCACTGCCTCCATGCTGACTCCTCACAACCGAGCCACAAGGGCTGTTGTTTTCCCAAGCAGTGAGCACACATCTTATGTATGTACTCACACTGGGAGCAGCACAGAGAAGGGATAATAGGATAGAGAAATACTCAGTATGACAAAGAAGAGAAAAATAGGATTCATAAAGCTTCTGAGTTTATAAGTGTTCAGTTTCAATTTCAAACACATGCTTTTTAACTTTTCATTTACAACACTTGACAAAACCGTAGTCTTTTTTTAATAGTGATTGACTTTTAAAAAACTAAAATACCAGCTGCTTTTATTAATCAGTTCTCACCCATTAATTTACTAATAATCGGTTTCAACTAGACTAACTCCCGGCAAAACCTTCATTTTTAATGAAAGCAGGGATGAAGCAGTAATACATTTCTCTAGCAATGTACTGTACAGATGGGTGACAAAATCAAAGGAAAAACCTGGATAAAAGAGTTGTCTCTTCCAGGATGACAGTGCTCCCATCCATAGGGCACGAAAGGTAACCGAATGCCTTGATGAGTTTGAAAATGATGTGAATCATATGCTATGGCCTTCACAGTGGCCAGATCTCAACCCAGTTGAACAGCTACTGTATAGGAGATTTTGAAGTGTTGTGTTAGACTTTGTCTCCACCACCATCATCAAAACACCACATGAGGGAATATCTTTTTGAAGAATAGTGGTCATCCCTCCTGTAGATTTGAGGCTTGTGCAATCAATACTAAGGTGCACTGAAACCATTCTGGCAGCATTTAGAGGCCCAACACCTTGCTGAGACACTTAATGTTGGTTTTTTCCTTTAGCTTGTCACCTGTCTGCAGCAGCTCATTAAAACATATGGTGCAAAAGCCTACACATTTTATTCAAATAATATTTGAAATGCACCCATAGCCATTTTTCACAGCAAATTACACTTTGAAGTCAATTAAAGAGGACAGTGCCTTATTTTTGACACCTTTGCATTTATGACCATCTTTAGGGCTTTTATGGTTCCTTTTCTTAATGCTGGCATCAGTGAAAAAATGCAGCTTGAAAGCATTCAGAGAGCAGTCCAAGCTACATGACATGATGCAATATGATGGAGCAGCTGTTAAATCTGACTCCTGTCCTGAAAGTTAAAATGCCACGGTCACATCATCTCATACAAACAAATAGATGTATGTATTGCTGAGCCTTTGCCAAACAGGAAAAGCTTAAGAAACTGCAAAAATCTTGCATTTTACTGTACTTTCCTGCCTGTGTCCCTCCTCACAGGCTGCTACACACAATGAATTTATTAATTATTCTGGGCAGTGTGTTACCCTGGCAACAAATGATTTCTAAGTTTAAAGTTTAATCTGCATCTCCTCCCCACACTGTCTTCTTGGCAAAGATGATGGGACATGTGTTTCATCTTCACATAAGCTGACACGGACACAGCCTTCCCTGTCAGACCCAACTGTTAAAGGAGGACAAGACTGAACAGGATGGAAGATGGAAAATCCTAATTACAGGCAAATCAGACGAGATTTAGATGGATACAGATGATCTCAAACTTAGTGAATTTTGAAAAGATGTGTTTTATGTATTTAATTTTATTAAAGCTATAATCACAACTTTATAGGAAATATGCTTATTCAGGCAAGAGTTCAATATTTATTACATACGTAAGAGTGGTACCGACATTCCCATAACTCTCAACAAGTGTCAAACAATTTCTTTAAAATGCATTTAAAGGACATCTTTCATAATTGCTGTTGAACCTTCTTGTCTTAAGTCCTTGTCATGGCAGATGGCCTTTGTAGGTCACCACAAAAACAACACATCTACTTTCTTGCACCACGATCTCCTCAATGGAGAAGTTGCTCGTTTTCGAGCCGGGAAAGCCATCAAAGAGCCTTCCTCCATTTCTGGCAGCTGTTCCACCCTATCTTTGCCGTTCTCCCTGCGGCTTTCCACGGAGGAAGGGTCAGAAACGGGGAAAGAGAGGAGGGGTGGTGGTGAGGCTTAAGGCCTACCTGGGGCATTATCCTGGCCCTGATCGTCACATTTTTAACGGTGGATATAGTTTAATTCGTGACCATCCCTCTATTTTGAGTGTTCGTAGGGACTGCCACAGATGGCTCCGGCCCATTGTACC